TCCGGTGTTCATCTTGCTGTGCTAACGAGGTATGGCAACCTGGACCGATGTATATATGTGCCTGGTCCTACGTTGTAGCTGACTGACTGACTGACTGACTGATGAGCTACTGATATCGACTTACATAAGTAGTATGTATCATCAATTGAAAGTAAAATGCATGGCAACATAAGGTTAAGGAGATCGAAGAATAAAGATTGATTGGTGTGGAAATGAAAGAACAATAAAGTCTTAAACGATTTTAAAAATGAAGTATTCACCGTTTGATTGTTAGATCTTACCAAATTACACTATCATATCTCATTCGATTGTATTTGATTGTTCTCATTAGTGTTGTCGTTCACCATAATACAAGTGAACTTTGAATGAATTTCGGTGATTATTTATTTATTTGTTTTATTTATTTATTATTAAAGTGAATACAAACAATTTTTTAACTGAAAACAAACAAACAAACAACAACACACCGTCACATTAAAACAAACGCCATAAAACAACCTAAATAAGCACACATACACACATATATACACACATATATATAGAAACACACACTCACATTCATATTCAGTTATTTATACAATCGAATATGTAAAATTGTTACAGTGTTTTTTTTTGTTGTTGTTGTTGGGTGAAAGGATAATGTCAACGGGAGAGAGAGGGGGGAGTGAGAGAGAGAGAGGGGGGAGAGTTAGTTACTATCTCAATTTGTCTTGGACATATTTATTTACATTTTTTTGTGTGATATCATATTACACAAGTCAGTTTTAAAATAAAAATTATGTCATTGAATTGATACAACAACAACAACAAAAATGAAGCTTATACACTTTATGAAAATGGTTATTAGTGGTTAGAGTTAATCTCGAAATGTAATTTCTATGGTTCATAATAATTAGTGGCATTATCAGAAAGGGTTTATGGATATTTTTTAGAAATTTCACAAATTGAAATCATGAGTCAGTTGAATCTAGACCACAATGGAAAACCTGGAAGCACTGGACAGCCGTTTCGTCATAGTATGGGACTCCTCAGTGGTCTAATGGTTAAGTGTCCGCGCGCGGAATCAATAGGTCCTGGATTCGAATCTCGCGGGTTGCGGGATCGTGGATGCGCACTGCTGAGGAGTCCCAAATTAGTGGCATTGTCATTCACTTGTATCTTCTTATTGTTAATTAGGAGCAACAGTTGACCAGTCTCTTGATGGTAAGTGCATCGTGTGTGGATGCCTCAATATTGTCTTAATTTATGAACATTATAAGTAAAAATAGATGGTGGCTAGCAGTGGAATCAAGGATGCGCGTTACGTCCCACTCCAGACTCGTCAGCTAGATGTGCCTACATCTCAGAATTGATATTCACTCCGAGACTTGAACTCAGTACTGTTCCCTTCAAACGTCAACGTGTTATCTATGATGAATGAGAACATAGGTGGATACAACCAATTGTGCTTGAATACAAAATTACAGAGTTCTTTGATAAAATATGAAAACCGTACGTTCAATACATTATTTGCGAACCTGTCATCAATTATCTCAAACTTCATCGTTCCTTCATCACCATAAAAATTACTCTCTGTTGCCATTGTCTTCGATTTGATCTTCCCAACTTTCTGCTGCTCGACATTCAACTTCTGATTGGTATTATATACTACTTGTGTCGATATAAGTAGCATACATCACATTTCCGCTAAGCTACTGAGTCCAGATAGCCACTAGCTTGTGCAATGAAGTTAAGTTTTAATCCATTTTTGTACTGATTTTTTATCTTCGCATTGATGTTTAAAACTGCGATTGATCAGTCTCTGTAGAATGAAACACGCATCGTGGATTACACTACTAGCCACTATCCATTTTTGCTTGAAAAGCCAGTGGCTGAAGACTATATCAAGGCAATACGCACAGGATGTACATATACTAACAAGAGACTGATCAATTAGTCCTAAAACAGCAATGTGAAGATTCATATCAAATAATACCAAATGAATTTAAAATTCAGCCCCATTGCACAAGGAGGTGGCTATCAGGACTCACTGGCTTATTGGATAACTTGATGATGTTTGAAGCGAATTATACTAGTTTCGAGTTTCAGAGTGAATATCAACTTTTGGATGCAGGTACATCCAATTGATGAGTCCCATATAGGACGAAACACGCATCAAATTGGATTCCACTTCTAACACCATCCATCTTTGATTGATGATGAATATTTTGTGATATTTCTCTAATTTTTTCATTTATGTTATTTTTTCTTTTCTAGTTGTCTACAGTGACTGTACGTAAAGAATAAGACGTTAATATCGATTTCCATTTGGATACATTCTTTAAACAATAAATGTCTCAATTTTCTTAAATGTAACAACATATGACCATTTATCGTATTGATTAATTTAAACAATAAAGAATCTTCACTAGTTGAAATCATGAGTTAATTGAGGCTAGACCACCTTAGAAAACCTGGAAGCACTGGACGGCCGTTTCGTCCTAGTAAGGGACTCCTTAGTAGTGTGCATCCATGATACCGCCCCCCGCGAGATTCGAACCAGGAGATGCTGCTGGAGTTCTAGTGAGAAGTCGTTAGCAGTGGAGTTTAACCAGGTCTGTTGTGAGATAGGAACTCACTGAAGACAATGGCGTACGGTGGCGCAACTTCGTGGATTGGTTGAAGTTAGACATTAACACCGTTCGATGCCGGCTCAGTGGTCTAGTTGGCGCGAGACTGATAGGCCCTCGGTTCGAATCTCGCATGGGGCGGGATCGTGGATGCACAATGCTGAGGAGTCCCATACTAGGACGAAACGGCCGTCCAGTGCTTCCAGGCTCTCCATGTGGTCCTAGCTTCAATTGACTCATGATTTCAACCAGTGAAATTTCTAAAAAATCTCCACAAAACCCATTTTGATAATAAAGAATCTATTGACATGGTGGCCTACTCAAACTAATTTTCTTTTCACTAGTTAAGATCACGAATCAATTTGAATCTAAATCACCATAGAAAACCTGGAAACACTGGATGACCGTTCCATCCTTGTCTGAAAGTATTCAGCAGTGCGAATCTAAGACTTAACCTTGTCTGGTATGAGACAATTATCCCAAGTAGACAATGTTGTAAATGTTGTGAAATATAATGAATTGCTTGAAGCTAAACTGTTGGATTCTGACTTGTTGATCTAGAAATTAAGCGTCCATGCACGAGACCGTATGTCTCAGGTTGAATTTTTAGATAAGAGATCATAGATTCACACTCTTGATTGGTTCCATATTAAAACATTTGTAACTATTCAGTCCTTCCACGTTTTCAAAAGTGCTTTAATTTAAACCGGTTGATGATTCAATGAAGATTCATATTTGTCTAATTCTTAGTGTTGATGGAATTATTTCAATAAGTTTATTATCTCTCCATCAAACACTTCGAAATATTTAATCAATGTTTCTTCTTGAACTGATAACATCTCTAATATACAAGGTTATAGTTTGGAACTCTTTGTTAGCATGTGAGTTTGTGGTTTTGATGACTTTTGTGTAAAAATAAATTTAAGCTCAATTGTTTCCCCATACTAATTAGCTTCGTGAGGGAATTCTCGGAGTTCTAATGAAAAGCCGTGACCAGTGAAGCTAATTCATGTCGAGTAGCGACAGGTATCTACCTCAGTACAATGGAAGATGATCGCGCAAATTCGTGGATTGGTTGAAGTCAGACATTAACACCATTAGGTGCCGGCCAGTTCAGTGGCCTAGAGTTTAACCGTTCGCGTTCCAGACCGTAGGACCTGGACTTGAATCCCGTGAGGCAAGATCGTAGATGCGCAATGCTGAGGAGTTCCACAATAGAATGAAACGGTCATCCAGTGCTTCCAGATTTTCAATGGTGGTCTAACATCAATCAGTTCATGATCTCGATCAAAAACGGAATGATCACCACAACGCCATAATGATAATTACCATGTGCTCACCAGTGACTGACTTCATGAGGGAATTCTCGGAGTTCTAGTGAGAAGCTGTGACCAGTAAAGATTCTCATCTATTTACTAACGATTCAACTCGAATAAAACACATCAATCCGGTTGTGAAGGTAGAAACCCATTTCTACCTGACATGGATTAGCTCCACTGGTCACAGCTTCTCATTAGAACTCTAAGAATTCCCTCACGAAGCTAATCACTGGTAAGCACACTCATACCGTTGTATGCCAGTCAGCCCAGTGATCTAGAGGTTAACTGTTCGCGTGCAAGACCGATAGGTCCTAGGTTCGAATCTCTCGGAGCGGAATCGTGGATGCGTAATGCTGAGTAAGGATTATGGTCTAACATGAATCATTTCATAATCTCAATAAAAAACTTAATAATCTCTACAACCCCACTGATATACTTCTTCCTATTCAAGTTGGATCAATAGTAAAAAAGATATAAATCTTTACAATGACATATATATTAGATTTATAACTTAGGTTGAACGTTACCAATGATATACAAGTATAAGTTCCATTGAATATCAGTTGACTATCAACTGACGTGATAATTCTTTCTGTTTCAGAAAAAAATTAGCCCCCAAATGCGCTAGTATGGCCGAGAGTAGGGTGGGCCCTCCCTCCCTCTCCAAATGCTCTCACACGGCCACGCGTATACAACCTCTGCCAGAGAAGTTTTACCCATTGCCTTCGCGCATCACGGGTGTTGTTTACGAAAATGAGAGGACGAAAAGCGAATATTTGGTGCTTTAACTGGAGCCTAAATCAATGGTGCACAGGGACTCCAGTATCCTGAAGGAACAAATGGCGTATGAACCAATTATTGATCACTGGCTACCATGGGACTGCATCTCCTCATGATGCTCCACTACCATGTACATTAGACCTTTAAGTCCAAGGCTCTGGGTGTGGCCCCCTAAGAAAACCACCTTCTTCAGTTTGAGCACCCGGGCAGTATCCGAGCCCGCACACAAATCAAATGAGATTTATGTGGCGCCTATATATCTGATGCCCACTTGTAACAATGTTTATATGTTTAAATAAATAAATAAAAAAACTATATTAAATTGTAAAAGAAAATGAACACAAGAATAAAAATATCAATGATCTTTATACATATGGGATCAAATAAATTCATAAAAAGATCATTTGAAATGCACTTGATCAAAATGATGGTATCCTATAATATAATGTTTAAATTTATAGTTACCATAGCAACTATCAATTATTATTTATATAATTGTTTTCTAAATGTAGTTTTTGATTAACTTCAACAAATTGATGTATACCAAAACGAAATTTACATTTTCCATATGTTTCTATATAAATTATACGTTGATTTGATTTTAACATTGATTCAGTCCATAAATAAGAATTTTGTTCAATATCATTTTGTTTAAAACGATCAGATTTTAATGATTCTTGTATAATTGTACCTAAATCACCTTCAAGATATTTAATTAATGAATTATCATGAATAGGATCTAAGAATAAGATTCGAATTCTTCCATACATTGATGTTTTTAAACGAAAACAACAATTCATTTCTTCTTCTTCAATTTTTACCTAAAATAAACAACAACAACAACAAAAATCAATTTCAATTAATGAGATCATGAATTCATTGAAGTTAGATCATTATGGAAAACCTAGAAGTATTGAACTGCCGTTTTGTCCTATTGTGAGACTCCTCAACAGTGTGTATCCATAATGCCGCACTGAGAGATTCGAACTCAGGATCTAATGGTTGAGATCATGAATTCATTGAAGTTAGATCATTATGGAAAACTTAGAAGCATTGAACGATTGTTTATGTTCTATTGTGGGACTCCTCGACAGTGTATATCCATAATGCCGCATTGAGAGATTTGAACCCAGGATCTATTGGTTGAGATCATGAGTTAATTGAAGTTAGATCATCGTGCAAAACCTAGAATTATTGGACTGCCGTTTTGTCCTATTGTGAGACTCCTCAACAGTGTGTATCTATAATGCCGCATTGAGAGATTCGAACTCAGGATCGAATGGTTGAGATCATGAGTTAATTGAATTTAGATCATTATGGAAGACCTAGAAGCATTGGAACTCCGCCTGGAGTCCCTCCGGGGGCTATTGCCGGTCCCAAGCCTGGATAATCTAGGAGGGTTAGACATGGGGTAAGTGACCCCATCCCGTAGAAAACTAAGTCGCTAAAGAAACGCTAACCAGAAAGAAGAAGCGCTGGACGATTGTTTTGTCTTATTGTGGGACTCCTCGGTAGTGTGTACCCATAATACCACCTTAAGAGATTCAAACCGACCACCAGTCAGTTTCGCGTGCGAAAGCTTAACCTCTAAACTACAAAGCTTGCATCTAATGCTGTTAATGTATAACTTCAACTAATCCATAAAATTCGGCGACCCATCCACTACTGTCTTCAATGAGTGACTATCTCACAACAAACCCGGATGAAATTCAGTGTTCAAGGCTTCTCATTAGAACTACAGGAAATTACTATAATATCCACAAAAACCCTTCTGATATGAGAAAAATTAATTAAATTGGACACTAAATAACAAACTTTGGTTAACTGTTTTGTACACGAATACGACTTCAACGTTTAGATAGTGGTTATCGCAGGTTAATGTTATACAGACAGCGTTTTTAGTGTTTGCATAGCTAGTCAAACCAAACACCTTCAATCAATCTTTTGATTCATGTCATAGTAGAAAATTGTTTTTTAATAGGTCATGGGTTCAAATCCTGCGGTCGGGATCATGGATGAGCACTTTTGAGGAGTCTCATACTGAAACGAAACAGTTTTCCAGTGCTTCCACGTTTTCCATGATGGTTTAGTTTCAAGTAACTTATGAATTCAATTAATAAATTACTAAAATCTCAACAAAACCCCAGTTCTGATAATTTGTATTTGTTTGTATCATTTGAAGCCCTTATGCTTACTAGATTTATGTTTTAGATCCTTCATGTTAAGATGTACTTCGTCGAACACGTTCATAGTAGGCAGTTGATGATAAGTTCAGCTATTTGAAATGAAATCCTTATTAAAAGTACACTCTTTCATCCAGCTTTCATCCATTAAATAAACACTATAAACTTCATTGATGCACCCAACGTTATCGCGAGCATTACGATTAATTTCCATAAAGAAAACACAATAAAACAACTATAAACTGTTTCGTTTTCAAATAGGACATGCATCTGCAAATGCGAATAGGGAATATCTGTGAGACACTTGGAGGAATTGTTTTTTCTGGTTAGCGTTTTGTTTGGGACTGACAGGATTGGAAGTGGATAAGACACATATTGAGGAAAGCACCTAACTACGTTACAAGACGAGCTCTCACACGGAATGCTGAAGGCCAAAGGAGAAGAAGAAAATCAAAGAACACATTACTTCGAGAAATAGAAACATACATGAGAAGAATGAACAACAATTGGATAAAACTAGAAAGGAAGGCTCAGGACAGAGTGAGCTGGACAATGCTGGTCGATGGCCTATATTCCATTTGGAGTAACAGTTGCAAGTAAGGAAGGAAGAAATAATCAACAAGGAAAAGTCAATGATGAGTGATGATTTGTTGAGTCTAACGAGTTAGATAAGGTACATGTACTCATTGATTACATTAATCAATTCCAAAATAAAAACTAAACAATGGGCCCTAAATATGGTAGCACTTCAAATAAAAACAAAACAGTGATCTAGAGCTACTCAGTTTTCAATTAAAATAAGAGTTTGTAAAAATTGTAGTCCCATACTAGGACGAAAATGTCATTCAATGCCCACAGGTTTTTCATGGTAGTCAAGTATTATTATTATTTATTTGAACATAAAGATATTGGTACAAGAAGGCACCAGATGTATATGCACCTCAGACATCTCATCTGATTTGTGTGAGGGCTGTGATACTGTCCGAGTGCCCAAACCGAAACAGCTGGTTTTCTTAGAGGGCCACACCCAGAGCCTTCGACCTAAAGGTCTGATCTGCAAGGCGATTGAGCATCATAAAGAGATGCAATCCCATGGGAGCTGATGACCAACGATTGGTTCGTATGCCATTTATTCCTTCAGGATACTGGAGCTCATGTGCGCCACTGGTTGGAAATGAGGGTTTTTCAACTCCCCTAGGTGGACTCTCCATATCCACCAAACCTGTTTAAGCCCCTGTCGGACATTCGCCTTTTCGTACTCTCGATTTCATGGAGGACACCCTCACCTCGAGAAGGCAGTGAATAGGACTCTCCTAACAGAAGCTATATACACGTGTCTATTTGAGAGCATTTCGAAAGGGACAGCGAAATCTCCCAACTCTTGGCCTAACCAGGGCATTTGGGGGCTCATGGTAATCTAGCTTAGATCAACTCATTAATCCAATTAATAAACTACTAAAATTTCCAAAAACCTTCATTCTGATAATAATAATCATCATGTGCTCACTATTGACTGACTTCAAGATGTGCATCCTAAACTTCTGGTGAATAACCGTGACCATGATCATGTAGTAACGGTTTGTCTTATGTCGAACCTACTATAGTTTATTCTACCTTCCGGACAAACTGATTTATCTATTGTTCTCAAGTTACATTTTGACTTTGTTAATTATTGGCTTATCAACTTTAACTGTTTTTATGTAAACATATGTGTGTTTACATATCTTATCTTATTCATCATATGCCTGTAACTTATTTTTGTTCGGCTATAAATATCGATTAACGTTCGATTAAAATGAATTGGCTCATAAGTCTTCTTCATTGCGCTTCATTTCGCTTTGCTCTCTTCTCTTGGTTTTGTTACTTTGATCGTTTATCTGAATCAACGATTATAATGAAATATACGAATTTTGAACTTTATTCTCTTATTTAACTTATTTGATTGAGTAATTCACCAAAGTAAGTTAAGTAAACGAATATAGTCGAAGATTGATGATATGTATATTTCAATATAACAATCAATCATACGATATTATTGGAGTCAGGGTCACAAAAATCAGTGGAGTTCACCTGTGCCTATTGTAAAGCAGTTACTCACTGAAGACAATGGTGGATGGTCATTCAATTTCATGGATTGACTGAAGTTAGGTATTAACACTATCTGAAGCCAGTTAAGTGGTCTATAGGTTACAACGTTCACCCGCGTGACTGAAGGTCCTGGGTTCGAGTAATTATTTATTTATTTCAACATAAATATTGGTACAAGACGGCACCAAATATATATGCGCCACACCATATTTGTGTGTGTGGGCTGTGATATTGCCTGTGTGCCCAGACAGAAGCAGGTGGTTTTCTCAGGGGGCCACAGCCCTAGCCTTTGACAGTCGAGCATCGTGAGGAGATGCAGTCCCATGGTAGCCAGTGACCAACAATTGGTTCACGCGCCATTTGTTGCTTCAGGATACTGGAGCCAATGTACACCATTAGTCTGGAATCCGGTTAAAGCACCAGACATTCGCTTTTCGTCCTCTCATTCTCGTAAAAAACACCCGTGATGCGAGAAGGCAGTGAGTAGGACTTCCCTGGCAGAAGCTGTATACGCGTGGCCGTGTGAGAGCATTACGAGAGGGAGGGAGGGCCCACCCTACTCTCGGCCATACCACGGCATTTGGGGGCTGCTGAGGAGTCCCATGTTATGGAGAAATAGCCGTTCAGTGCTTCCAGGTTTCTAATAATGTTTTAACATTGATCAACTCATGAATTCAACTATTAAAAAATGAAAGTGATATCTATCCTTAACCATTATTGATATAAATATCATACTCAATGAACAAGTTAATGACTATTTGTACTTAGCAACATATTAGCACAGAGATACAATTGTCGATTCAAATCCCGTAATAGTAGATGTAGTAAAAGTATAAGCACTGTGTTATTTACGTTTACATATGTAAGTACATAATAATTGGAGATGATTAATTTCATAATAGATGAAGAAAATGACCCATAATCATCAGAGATAATGAAAGTTGAATGATAAAACATTAAAATCAATGGGACTCTACAGCTAGGAGCAACCACCCATAATCCTAAAAGGAATAGAATCTAGTGTAATGAATAAAAATAATATATTTGTAATATCCCAATGAGTAGAAAATTGGATTTTCTGACGTTTCGTGACTTAGTTTAAGTCACTTCTTCAGAGAACAAATAACCAAATTAAAATTCATCCAAGTTTAAATAGTAGTTTAAATAGTAGTTCCGTTGTACTATTTAAACTTGGATGAATTTTAATTTGGTTATTTGTTCTCTGAAGAAGTGACTTAAACTAAGTCACGAAACGTCAGAAAATCCAATTTTCTACTCATTGGGATATTACAAATATATTATTTTTATTTATAACAATGAACCCAATGCTCAATTTATTCGAAATTATCAAATCAAACCTTGGTAATGACACCTACTAGTGTAATGAAGTTTGATTGAAAGTGCTTCATCTTCAAGTGATTGAGTTGACATCCGGTGGTCTACATCTTTAACTTCAGATAACTCTTGATAATGAACAAGGATAGCCGATATTTATTTCAGCCTTGACAGCGGATTCTTTTATATCCTGTCGATAATACTGAATGGTAACT